CATTTGTTACTTTATGTATTTGTGTTACTTGTTTCACTTGAGAGTTTTCTCCTCAGAGAGTAAGAATTACTGTTACCCTCACACAGTCCTTCTTCTGGATTACTTTCCTTAAACCTAATTAATAAACCTGCCACTATGGCTATCTACATCCCTCAGGATATCTCATTCACTATTACTCCCTCACTTGGAGTTCTTCACAGGTATTAAGTCCCTCATTTCTGGACTTTAACAATCAGTTTCTATCTAGAAACCTCACAATAACTGTTCCTTTCTGGAACCCTCACTGTAACCGTTTTTCTCAAAACTTTCCTGTAACCTTTCTCACCCTCAGAAAACCCCATGACAATTCACCTCAGGGTTGCCATGAGTTGTAAATGATTTGAAGGCACACAACAATGGCAGCATAAGGAAGCAGTTCAGATCTTGGAAACATTTCCTTTTCTTAGACTAGAACCCACATATTCAGATCATCAATCCATCTAGTGAAGAATTGTCTCGTCTACAATTCAACCATTGGCCTATTTAGCTAAATATCCTCTCATGACTAGCTGTGGTTTCCTAGTGCAGAAATCTTTCATATCATTCACTACTCAAAGTCACCAGTGGATTTCCATGGGTAAGCAGGGATTTGAACCCTGATCTCCAGAGACATAGTCCAATGCTCAAACCACTAAACTGCTTAGGCTACAAAGGCCCAAATCCTTTTGGTGACATGCAATTGTAGGTAGATATTTTCCCTGCATACATAACCATTACACTTTTATTTATCTGTAATTGACCTTTTTATTTCTAATTTTAAAATGTATGTTAGAATTTATAGTCATAAAAGGGCACAACTTTTTTTAAAACTTTTGATCACACAAAGAAGCTGTCATGGACACCCATTGCTTCTGTACTAAAATGCCTATCAGGAAAATGCAGATTATTTCCCCACTCACACCCCCAGCAATGGCATCTGCACTTCTCAAGCTATCACCAAGTGCAGGAGTAGGAATTATACAGTCCTCCCATAATCTCTCACTACTGGCTGAATAGACTAGATTTGATGGGTTCTGCAATCCTACAATGCCTGGGGGCTTACAAGTACATACTACAAGTATGAAGGCTGGCTGTGAATTCCCTTCTGGAAACATTAAAAAAAACTACCACAGGCTGCAAAGTTTGTGATCCTTTTGAGTCTTTGCATTCTATTCTAATATTGTACTATGCTGATCAAATTCTGTGTGTGGGGGGGAAACCCTTTACAAGAGAGGAGTGATATAACAATGACTTTGTCACTGCAGCTTGTGACCTGCATAAGCAAACCACTCTTCTATCAAGTGGCCTCATTAGCTTGCAAACATAGTGGCACACTATGGTGAAGGGTTGCAGCGGAACCATCTCCTGTCAAATTGCAGCAGACTGCATGGTCCTGTTATCTGAGACCCTTCAAACCTCATCTGGGGATATTACCATTTTTCTGTTAGTTTCCAGTGACCTTTACAAATAAGGCCTGGCTGTTGTTTCTCTGCCATTCCCATAAAGATGGGAATGCATATGAGGCAGAATAAGCAAATTTATTTTATTGCTTTATTATTTTGGTTGTTTGGGTTCTTGCCATTTCCTATTATTCATCTAAACTTCTGTCATATAATTATTAAACCATATAATATTTTGTGATATATACATTCCTTATATAAATATAAGATTGAAATTCTATGTACAAAGGCAGAACAATCTAATATTAGGGTTTGTAGTCTATACTAAGCAATACTGGACTCTTAACAGCAGGAGTAGCCAAACCCAGGTTTTTGCATTCATTTAAGCAGCAGCAGCAACAACAACAACAACAAAAGGGAAAATGTCTGCCATTTCCACGACTAGCATAACTTTTACCTTCTTTCCTAGGAACAGGCTAAGAGGAGTGTGGATCCTTTCCATTTCCACCTACAAATAGGCTCCAAACACAAATCTCCCCCGCCTTCCCTGAGTTTGGCTTTCTCTTTTTGGAGTAAAGGAGAGCCCTGAGTTTTCCCCAGTGGCTGGGAAGAGCTGCACTGACACACAGAGACTAGAATCTTGTTGTTGTAACTATATAACTGGTGACAATAGAAGGAATAAAGGCAGCAGCTGTTCCAGGACATCCTATCAAAGTAATGGCCAACTTCTGCAGGATTTCACATATATGTGAACTTTCCATGAAATATCAATTGTACAAAAAAATGAGCTTAACAATAACATTAATTTTGTGCAAAACAAAGTGAATTTTATGCCATATTCAGAGCTTTTTGTACACAAACAAAAAATATCTGTGCAGGTAAAATTTGAATTCCTGCTAGTATGTCTTGACTCTGGCAATTACTTCAGTATGTTAGATGTTGCTATGGGGACAGAAGCAGGCTGGAAATATATCTAATGTTCATGTTTCCTTTTCTCTTGAGTTGTCAAAGCAGACTAGTGCTAAGCCATATCAGTTCAATAGTGTATCCATTTTTCTCATACAATCAGTTTAAGACAAAAATATCCCCTTCTACTGTCAGCAATATCTGCCAACCTACAGAAATACAACCGTAAGAAAGACAAATGTAAAAAAAATATTTCATATATCAACAGTAATAACATACAATTTACATGTAAGTACAGGACAGCACTGTCAGCCCCCAGGCTGTTTTCCACCTGTGCTGTTACTCGGAAAATTCCCACATTCTGGTAGATGTGTTTGATCCCATCTTCTGTGGAACTGAGATTGGCATATGACACAGCACTCCCATCTCCAAAATCCACACGAATTATCGATCTCTGAATATCTCCCTAAATGAAAGAAATAGGGAGAAAAATTGATGACTAACATAACTTGTATAACAATTTGAATATTTATCAGTTTCAAAAGGATTTTAAAAATGAGAAACCACAATTTACACAGATGGGTAGAATCCAGAGCTGGTCTCCTTTTGTCTTGTTTCATCTTGTTTCATACTGTTTCCCATTACCCTGGGCACTTTGTTGCAATGTTGGATGGCTGTTTGCATGCACATCCCACTATGCCAGCCAGTGCTTCCACTGCTGGCATGAGCCACTTGCTCTATGCTCATAATGAGGCACCCAGTATTAATCACAAGGCTAAGCACCTCATTCTGACCTCAGTATGAGCCAATTGTACCAGTGAAGGCAACACAGCAGGATGTGCTGTAAACAGCTGCCCAGCATTGCAACACAGGGCTCTGGGTCTTCCATTAAGATCCAGAGCAAATTTTGATTTTAAAAAAATCTTAAGTGTGTCATACATTGGGTTCAGTGCTGAATTGGTCAAATATCATCTGGACAAGTAGTTCCCACTAGAATCAGGGTTTGGGCCCTGCATCATCCAGACTTATTGCTGTGGGAATTGGAGGAGGATGTTTTATTTGGCACATGAGGACAACCCCTAAGATAAATCATGGATTTAAGCCACATACACCTCTCAATGAACAGATAAAAGAAAAGGGTGAAAAGATTTGAGAATGAGTAAATTATTCCAGCCCACAAAAGGTGGTTTTTTTTTTCCTCAAGAGGGAAGCATCACTTGTTGCTAATTAAATATCACCTAAATTTGAAAAAAGAGGACAATGATTTGAAGTCAGAAATTTAAGTTTTTTGTTGTTACAAAATGTGGGAAGCTCACAGGAGCTGGCTCCATTCCAATACTAGACATTCAGCCTTTCAGCAACACTGAAAGAATCCTTTTAAAATTATAACTTTCACTTTAAAGCAAAATCTCTGCCTTGTTCTGAAGTGACTAATCTTTATTCTGATGAAGGTTCTTTCTGCAAGGATGCTGTTGCACTGCCAAAATTTGGCAGCTTGTCAAAAAAAAAAAAAAAAAAAAAAAAAAAACCCTAAAGGGAAAATTGAGGGGGAAGAGCAAATTTATAGGATTTAACTTTGCTTAAAATTTAACTTTGCTTAAAAATTAAAAAAAATGCAGGTAAATATTCAAAGCAAGATGTTATACACATTTTTATCTCATGCAGCTG